ACACCAAAGAAAATGCAACTATTCGTTCAGCTTGCTATCCTTATATAATTAAATTGCCTTTTATAACCAACACATCAAGGAAATGGATAGATATGACCTTGTTTAATTACAATGGCTAATTTACCACAATATTAATCACACTTGAATATTAAAAAAATAATAATCCCATTTTACACCTATCCTATAATTCAAAATCTTATTTTCTCTTGCCACTCAAAAATAGCTGTACACACTCGATCCTAAGAATTCAAAGTAGTTGCTAACAACATAATTTCTTTAAATAAAATTATTTAAAAAATTCTCTCATGATAAGAGTCGTGTGTCAATAGATTGTTAAAATTTTGAGATAAATGAGATGTCAAATAATTTTTTTAATAAATTTCTTAATCTAACCGCCAAAAGAGTTCATAATTTTTTTTGTAGAAGATTCATTTGGTAGCCTTGCTCTCGCAAAACATTTATGTACATTTAGACTTAAAATACTAATGTAGTTATTAATATATGTATGTGTATTGCTAGCCCGATATGAATAGAGTCCAAAAAAAACCCTTTACCAGCAATAATTAAAATACATTCTCACCTCTTGAAATATTTCTAATCACTACAGTATTTGAGATATATAGGTGACAACAAAATCTGATCACAAATTGTTTTTTTTTTTTTTTTTTTTCTCAAACATGTATATGTATACACAATCAACACTACTACAATAGAAAAGCCGAAAAAGAGTTTTTCTTATAGTTCCCATAGATTCTCTAGTGTGGGAATGTCAGATTCTTTTCTTCACAGATGCTACCATTCTGTTTCTGGCACAGTTTCCTATATACTCAACTTTCTCTTTTTCTTCCAATGTTTTATTTGACTGAAATTAATTTGACCAGTCAAACCAACTTGACTGATCCCTATAATGCACATTGGTCCCACATTGTCTGTGGGCCACCACAATTTGGGCACCCAAAGTCCTGTTTGGCATGTTGCTTTTTCTCTATTCTTCCCACAATTATTTTCTTTATTTATTCATATTTTTCGAAACATGGAGGAGGCAACAAAGCCATTTTCATAGGGATCCAATGGTAATCAGATTGGGATCAATCATTGTTTGTTTATTGGTATATGTCTCTGACAGATTTGATGACAGGTATATAAGAAGAATATTGGTTTGGTAGAATATTGATTTTCCCGCCATTCCAAGATTGTTGGCCCTAAATTGTTAAAGAAAGAAGAAAAGTGGATATGTGGTGTGTATTAGTCTCTTGTGATCTTAATTTGTTTGATTGGCTTATAATTATCATCACTTGAGTGGATTGCATGTGTTTTGTTCATTAATTTCATGTCTTAACAAATAAGGCATTCACTCAATTACTCACCTCACTTCATTAATAAAACAATCTCATGATCCAACTTGGATTAATTAAGGAATGATCTTGATTCATTATTATATGCATAATAATTAAGGATGTGTGGTTTCGAGTTTTAATTGGTTGGGTATATATAAGTAAAAAGGGGTGGATTATGAGTTGGGTACTTATCATTAAAAAATAAAAATAAAAATATGGAACATGATTCAAAATAATTGTGACAAATAGTGAAATAACAACGAACTTTTTATCAAAATTCTTGTATTCATAATTTGTTATGAAAATTAACAGAAAACAAATCAAACTTAGAAATAAAAATACGCAATTTTTATGTCGTTCTCTCAAAATTTAGAGTAACGTCAACGAATTGTAGGAATTTCATTATGTTCATAAAATGGTTAAGAAATATAGAGCTCAGAATAAATAAATACCCTCGCACTAGGATAATATAACCGATGCAGAAATATACTAAATGCCTTCCAAAGTTAGGGCTTAAATGTATAGTATTAATCAGGCTCTACACTTCTCATCATAGTTTTGCTTGTAATGATATTTTTTCTTGTATTAGTACAGTTTATAGCGACTTTTATATATATATTCACACACACTACTATTTGTGCAATTGCATACTTTATTGTTCTAACACATTGTTATCTTTAGAACTAGTTCTAGAAATATCACAATCTTTGTTTCATATTTCAACTAATTTACTAGGTGTAAAAATTATATATGTTTTCACTTGTTGATTAAATTGCTTTAAGTCATTACATACATACATACATACATATATATATATATATATATATATATATATATATGATCTCAATTAAATGCAATATTGAGCTATATATACTTGCAATTCCCTTTATCAATCATTTTTCTATAATTACAAAGTTATTCATGTAATACCAAAAAAGAAGAAAAGATGAATCATCAAACAACCAGTCTAATTCTTTCTATTTTGGGGACACATAGTAGAAAGATAAGATTCATAGGGTTGGTCTCATTTTGATCCATGGCACTTTATATTGGAGCAGTGCGTTTTGTTGCTGTAACTTCACATGTCTATGTGTATATATGTGTATATATATATATGTTATTGTGAAAGAGAAAACACTAAGCGCAAAACAATTACTGATTCTGTAGGGTGACAATTTTATTTAGATTAAAATGCCAATTATCTGGTTGAATTATAGATAACTTGTCATGCTTGAAGATGATCATAAGTTTCAAATATGTCTATATATATGTTCAATTTTATTCAATCTTATATATATATTTATATATATAAAATAATATCCACCGCTAGGGATGGCAACGGGACGGGTTTGGACCGGGTTTCCCTAAATCCCGCCCCGCCCCGCCCCTTTTAATTTTTGTCAAGTCCATGCCCGCCCCAAGACCCGCGACGGGTTGGATTTTCATATCCAACCCCGCCCCGTTAGGAACTACTGTGCCCCCGTGCCCGCCCCACTAACAAATTTTTTTCTCCCACTTTTTGGAACTTAAACTCCTGCTATTTAAATGTGCAAAGCCTAGGAATGACACAACATAAATAAAATTATGTATCCTAATAAAAATAAAAAAAATAACATGCACATAACATAATTCAGAGAACATAATAAACAAAAATAAAAGTTTAATACAATCAAATCACAAGAAATTCTAAGCTCCAACTTCCACCATAATCAAAACAAAAGCAAATTTAATACCAAGTTTACATCCCAAATTAGGATTGTAAGAGATGGGTAATTGGGTAAGCCGCTAAAATAACTTATTAATATATATATATATATATATATATATATATATATTAAATATAGTTATATGCGGGGCGGGGTGGGGCGGGGCTCCTAGGATATGTATATTGAACCCTTACCCGCGCCGTGACCCTCGACGGGTACAAAATTTGTATCCATATCCGCCCCAATGGTATAACAAGTGTTCCCATATCCGTTATTAACAGGGCGGGACGGGACAGGGCCCTGACGGAACGGTAAAAATTGACATTCCTATCCACCGCTAGCAACTCATCATGCATAGACATTGAGGTGGCATTTAATTGGAGCAACCGTTGTTCAAAAGAATGAATTGATGATTGACATGCAAGGTGGCAACATACGTATACTTTTGTTAATGAGTACATAAATGATGGATGATGATATATATATACACACACACTTGACGATATAGCTAGCTAGGTAGCTGAATCACAAAGCATTTTTACTTGTACGGCCGTGATTTTCTCTCTCAATTTGGTGATCGAGAAAATCATTAATTTCGATCTCTTACTTGGAATGCTGGCTACAATGAACAATATACACACACACACATGTATATACATGTGTGTGTATATACACACAAAGCACGGTTAACAACTGTTGTAGTGATATACTGAAGTGGTGGATTAAGACTAGTCAGATACAGTGTTAATAAGAGGGGACCAATGGACAGAAAAGCAGCAAACAATGTGTTGGTGGGTTGATTGGATAGCATGAAAATCTCTGTCACTAGGTGTCCCTTTGCCAGGTCCATTATCCATCATTCGTCTACATCACCACAACCTTCAACTCTTTCAACATTCAAATTCCACACTTGTTGTGGGGCTACAACCATCCATGATCCAACAGTAAGTCATACGTCCTAATCGATTAGTTAACATGTACGGCTTATCAAATTTTCTATCAAGCTAAAAAAAAATAAAAAAAAAAAATTTCGTAAATAAATAAATAATTTATTTTAACACATTAAATTTATTTAAAATAAATTTAATGTGTTAAAAACTAATTTAATTTCGTTAAGTGCACCTACAGTATGGTGCTTTCAAGTATTGTTTTCTCTTCTTATTTGATATGCGTTTTGTTTTAGGCGTTTTGTTTTTGGTTAAAATATAAACACTGTTTTTGCAGTAAGAGTGTTTTAGAAAAAAATCGGAAGCACATTTGGGAACGATATTCAAGACGTTTTGGTTTTTGCCCGTGTTGCGCTAGTGTATGATTTTTGGCTCGTATTGCTCTACTATTATAGTTTTGAAATATGAACAGAGTTGTTAAAATAAGAAAAAATAACTTTTTGGTATTTTAGTTTTGGACCACTATTTCCAAATTATTTTAGCATTGTGTAAAATAAAATAAGACTGCACCAAACATATTTTTGTTGCCAAAATCAACACTGTAACAACCAAAAAAACAAAAATAGTATAAACAAAATGCATGACTTTGTTTTATCTGATCTTCTATATAACCAATTACAAAAAAGAAAAAAAATTTTGTACTAAAAATATTTTTACATAGTTTTTTTATTTTTGGTGAGATTATTTTTAAAACAATTGTGACAGGGTTTGTGAAACATAATCACTGAACTAAAGACAAGTGATAGCATATTTTTATTCAATTTCTTAATATTTGATTTTTCCCATTTTATAAATGATGTCTGAGTCGCCGAGTTATTGGCGATGGAGTCGGTAGGGATCGGATTGAAAGGGGGAGGGAAGGTTGGAAGAGAGCGATGGGTGGGGTCCACGTAGAGGTGCATTCCCACGCCATTGGGACCCACACAAAACTGGCACATGAATCCGTTGCAGATGAATGGATGATGATGATCAACTCGAATTTTCCATGGCCTTCTCTCTCCTCGCTTTCTCTGCGTGCAAGACTAACAAACATCGAACCATTCCCGTAGACCCCAGTAATCATTACACCCCAATCTCACTCTCTCTCTCTCTCTCTCTCTCTGGACATCCTTCTTTCTCTCTCTAGACACCATATCTCTCTCTCTCTCTCTCTCTCTTATATATTTAGGCTGCTTTATTTATATATGGATCAGGGGTGCTTTCTTTCCTTCACTCTGCATGACTCCCTAATCCTCTCTCTCTAAACTTCTAAATCTCTCTCTCTCTCTCTTCATCCTTTCTCTCTCTATATCTGTTCCAGAGACCTCATACTAGCTAATACAATCTCAGCTGGAGTTGTAATTGTGCATGGATGGATCCTTCAAGTGCACAGCAGCATCAGGTGGGATAAGAATTCAGTACTACTATATATATATATATATATGATCATATTAATACTATAAGCTTAATTGTTCTTTGTTTACTCATCACTTTACTCTTTCATTTAATTTCCCTTTATGGTTTTCATATATCTATGCAAGTTTATATCACTTTGGGGTAAGAAATTAAAAGAGCTAAAGAGAAAAGAAGAAAGGAACTTAATTTTTGAGTTTTGTTTCTCACTCATTTTGATTTTTTGCCTGCGTTATTAGTTTGTCTCTAAAAGGGTTAAAAGGTTTAGGTCAATGCACAAAGCTCGATCTGGTCACTGTGAGATTGGAAGAGAGTAAATTTGTTGTTTATTGTTTTAAACTCGCAAAAAATACATATAGCAACCTTATCATTGCGCCAAGATCTGCACTCTTATTAGTTTCTCCGATAATTAATCTCAAAACCAACACATGTTTAATGTTTTCTTGTCACACTTGAACCAAAATTAAATTGCAATTGGGTGGTTCTGGGACTTCAAAGACTTTTTTTTTTTCCTCAAAGTTTTATGTTTACATCTGATATATATTTGATATTAAGATTGAGGCTTTGTTACTAATTTTACTTCTCATTTTTTTTTTGTCTCATCACTTCAGGGAATGATTTAATGCCTCTTGAAAAGTAATTTGTTTTTCAATCTTCTGTGAAGAACCCAACTGAAATTGGAATTGGAATATGTGTAAATTTGTCTATTAGTGCATGTATTTGTTGTATAAATGGAGAAGAAAAAGATTACCAATTACTACAAACATTTGCTACCATATATGCAGTTTAATTTCAAATTCTTTAATGTATTAATGCATGCATTTGTATTTGTCAATTCATTCATCTCTTGACAATTTTTTTCCGTAATCACTTCAGGAAATGGCCTCTCAGACACTAGAAAGCATGTTGGTGTGCACAAAAACACAGCAAGAGAAGAAACCAAGGCCTCAAGAACAAGCTCTGAAATGCCCTAGATGTGAGTCCACCAACACCAAGTTTTGTTACTACAACAACTACAGTCTCTCTCAGCCAAGGTACTTTTGCAAGTCATGTAGGAGGTATTGGACCAAAGGAGGGACACTGAGGAATGTTCCAGTGGGTGGGGGGTGCAGGAAGAACAAGAGATCATCATCATCCAAAAGGAATCATGATCAAGATCAACCACTCACAACCAATCCCAGTCCACTCTCCACTCTCCCAACCATGACCTATGACACCAATGATCTCTCCCTAGCATTTGCTAGGCTCCAGAAGCAGCCAACTGGGCATTTAGGGTTTGATATTTGCCATGATCTTCCAATGTTGGATCACTCCAACAACACTCCTGGCTTTCTTGATGCACTGAGGAGTGGATTTCTTGAAGCCCCAAATGGTAATTTTAGTAATTTGTATTATGGGGTTGGGAATGGTAACATGGGTCATTTGGAAAATGGTGATTTGGGTGTCAATTTTGGTGAAGAAGTGTCAACAATGCCATATGATCATCAAGATATGAGCGGCGGCGGCGGCGCTGCAGCATCAGCTGTGACGGTGACAACAATGAAACAAGAGCATTGTCATGACAGAGAAGGTGAGAATAGGGTTTTGTGGGGCTTTCCATGGCAGCAGCTTGGAGGAGATGGTAACATGGGTGATTTTGATTCAGGGAGAGAAAGCTGGAATGGACTTGGTTCATCTTGGCATGGACTTCTCAATAGCCCTCTCATGTAGAATGTCCATGTTTGGAAGAAAAGAAAATGATAGAACTTCTTACTTTCCTTTAATTATCAGACTCAAATTTTAATTTAATCCTTTTGAGTTTTGTATTAGAAGACTTGATTCTCTTCATGAATCATCTGTGTTTTGTTTTTTTATTTTTTATTTTGTTTCTTAATTAATTGGTAAAGTAGTGAGACTATATATATATATATATTGATTAAAGTAAGGTGGTGGTCCTTGTGGAATATGTGTTGCAATTCTAAATGAAAAAAGAAGCGAGAGATTAAGACTTGAGAGTGATGTTTCATAGTCTCTGCAGTCTTGACTCTATGAAGTACTGAGAAAGCATTGGTGGTGGTTGTAGGAATTTGGATTTGAAATTGAGTGGTGTTTTCAAATTTCAAGATATTCTTTCATGATTGTTTCTTATTTTCAGGTAGATCTCTACGAATATAATAAGAGAGTGTTGTATTGAAATAATTAAATAATAATGGGGTTGGTGGGTATTCTCTTCTTCCCAAGCATTAGAATTTCAGTGAAGCATGAGCACCAATTTCGGGATAGATTTTCCTCTCTTGCCAGACCAAATCTAACATAAGATTTAGGCGTGAAACTGTATGGTCAGTAGCTAAGTATGGATAAGTATTTTAATATTTACATAGACAGTAGATATATATATATATATATTATATATATATATATTTTAACAAACCAGTGATTTTTATATTAAAATGAAAAATTTAATCGACCTTATTAGGTGAAACAGAACATGTTAAAATTGTACCGAATACATTATTAATTATTCAATAATGTTATTGATAAATTTATTGAAGAGAGAGAATCATTTATATTCTTTAAATTAATTTATCATTTTGTTGATCCGTCTTATACTTTTAAGTTAGATAAAAATTACTGATAGTTAATTTGGTACACGACTATTTTGAAAGAAATTACTAATGGAACAACTATACTATTCATGGCTTTTTCTACTAATGGAACAACTATACTATTCTATACTATTCATGACTTCTTCTCCATTCAAGCTTATTGCTACAAATGAAATTCTCACCTTATATACAGATATTTCACATAAATATCTTAAATATTTACAAATTCTACAAAAATCACAATCTCTCTAATATTTTAGAATCTCTTTATAATTTCACCATCTGTACACAAATGTAGAAGACTCAAGAAATTTAACTCTACTCATGCCAATTATCATGTAGAGAATCCTCCTCAACGTTTTTGTGACACAATCTTCTTGCAAATATGCAGGCGTGATATCATTCTTCGAAGAAAGAAAAAAATGGATTATTGTATCATCCAACGCAAAAATCAAGTTAGAAATATTAATTAATTGTTAGAAACCTGCAACGAAATTAATTTTGATCTTATTTTTCAATTTGGGTGGTTATGCATATTTATTTATTTTTCTACCTGTAAGTTTTTGCCAAATATTGTTATCTCACATTTTGCCCAAATTAAGTTACTAGTATTTTTAGATTTTCCATAAAGGAAGAAAACACACAAGTGATCCTTTTTGTTATCATCTAAATGAAATCTATTGGATTAGTCATCTTACTAGCTAAGAAAAATTGTTTAAGATAGATGCTGGGAGAGGTTCAAAATCAAAGACTTGAGATCATGTGTTCTTACCGGACAAGAAGTAAAAGATATATAGAATTGTATAATTTCCTATAAAAAGATACTGTATAATCTTGGTTCTTTATCATCGTTCACACAGTTTTTATTTATTATTATTATTTTTAAAGTAAATACTCGCACACCAAACTCACCTCCCATTTGATTTGGTGAGAAATTATTACATGGTTATGATTCATTTGACACTTGGCGATACTTTTGTGAGATCATTTTCTCAATTCGTCTGAATTTAAATTGGTCCATTAAGTGTTAATGGACGAGAACCCTCTCATAATTTATCCTTGATAGAGATGTTATATCACCTGGTTCGGTTTCACAAGAAGTTGTGAACAAGAAACATGAGTACATATATTGACAATTTTAAGGAAAGGTACTGGGTGGGCTAGACTAGGCCTAAATCTATTAGGGTTATTTTTGGGCCAACAGAGGTCAATCTCTACCACAAATGTGTAACATTTCATAATAGTCTAATAGAGCCTATCAAGGCCTGTTTTGTTGTTTCAAGGCCTCTTTTTTTTTTTTTTGTCACACAGTTGGGCTTTATGTATGACCCAACAAACAGAGACCAACTTTTGTTGTATTGGGACAGACCACAAAGAGTTTTTTTCCAAACAGCGACCCAATAAACAAGACCCAAGTTATTATACTGGGCCGAATCACAAATTTTGACTTGACCCAGTGTGATAAACTGGAACCTCCTCGTATAAAGTTTGATTCTGCACTTGAAGTTCTTTGAAGCAAGCAGGTTAAATAAAACAAATAAAAATGAATTAGGAAACCCTACAAGTTTGACTAACTAATCATAAATTCACAGAGTTCAGACTACCAAAAATATAATATAATTTAATTTAACTGAAATTGTGATATTTGATGATGGATGCATAAAGTTTGACAGTTCTCAACAAAACACTACATCAATCCGGTAACATGCTCTTTAACAAATTTTCAGTACAAAGAATCCATCGTGGATCACATCATCACATTTTGTATTAAATGACATATCACAGAAATATATGACAATATATATATATATATATATATATATATAATCACACCAACTAGTCAGTAGTCAAGATGGAGCTCCAATTTTATCAAAAGAAACAAAAATACTCTATAAAATTTAATTGAAACGCAATTAGATTTTTTTTTATATTATTAAACAAAGAAAAAAAAAATATAAGAATTTCATATACAAACAAGTTTCATTATAAAACCCCCTGTTTTTTATTAGATCACAGTACATTTTTAGATTTAATATGTTCTCTCTCCCGATAAAGTAGTTTGCTTGATAAACGTCATATCATTAACCACCGACCACGTATTTTGGGAGTTTTGTCAGCATGCGATGATATGTCAAGCGTGGACCCCATCTTCCATTTCTTCGGACGGTCTGACCCATTTCCCTGCCTGTGATTTGCAGATGGGTGATTTGCTTGATGAACAAATCTTGTAAGTTACGTGCCGACGAAAGAAAGAAAAAAAAAAAAAAATATATCAAACCAACAGTATACACAACAGTCAAAGGTATTTTCGATTGCAAAACGAAAAAAAGAAAAGAAAAAGAACAGTGCAAGGCAAACCACCGTCGACTAACCCGGTCATATTGTAATCATGCTCGCATAAATATCTATTTCCTGATAACGAGATTGAGCACTAGAGACAAATAATAATAGAGTTCACATAAAATATCTATTTTGTCAAATAAACGAGGCTGCACACTCATTGACTAAAAAAATTCAATTGTTCAAGTAATGCAACAAATTTTCATAACAATTAAATTAAATTAAATTTTATTGAGACATTGTAATAAATTTAAAAAAAATAAAAACAAAAAAAAAGTTATAATTGTGATAACAATTTTGTAGCTAACATTGTATAAGTAATGTAATTCATCTTTCTGATTTTTCTTTTCTTTTGACTTCACTTGAAAATCATTTTTCATAGCTTATAATGTCATTAATTTATGCTGTAATAAAAAGTAAACAAGTTCTGCACTTGTCCTAAGAAAAGCTTAAATCCTTTAATTTTTATATGTTTAGTTTGGAGAGAAAACTTATGTCGTCCACTCATTCACATAATTTTATTTTATTATTATTATTTTTTATTGTAGAAATAAGAAAAATAGTCATACGATACTTACAAAAAGCGTCATAAATAGCCATACGAAGACAAATAAATCATGAAGTAATAGAAGAAAAACTGAAGAACAGGTTCCAAATTTACTAAAAAACAGTACAACAGCAGAAACTATCAAGGGAGGAAAGCAGCAACAGGAATAACCTACATGGCATGCCATCGTCAAGACAATTGCTCTAATACATTCACAAAGCGTCGTCCAAGGAAAAAAAACCCCAAACTCCGCACATAATTAAAGTAAGAAATTAAAGACAAAAATGATTATGATGATGATCTGACAAAAATGATTATGATGATGATCTGATTAAAACCCCCCCCCCCCCCCCCCCCCAAAAAAACAAGAAAAAAACAGACGTGTGTGACTTGATCAGAGTCAGTTCATACTACCAGGTAAATTGGTGAACTAAGACACATTACCAACCATATACTTTGCCTCAGACCCTTTGTAAGAAGCTCTAACTACCTTTTTTTTTGTCCTTTCTCTCTTAAGTAATGAGAAACCTACCATATCCAATGAGTACGTTTGTCATATAATATTTCTTGAAATGATTATATATATTTTTATTTTAAAAATTAGTTATCAATAAATTATTAAATTGTGCCAATTCATTTTATATTTTGTAGATTGATTAATTAAATTTAATGTTGAGATTTTTTTATAATATATTAATATATTTTTATAGGATCATTTTTTAAATTTAATTGATTCATCAAATGTCAATAGATAATGGCCATTTAATATTTTCATTACTCTATATCAATGAAATAAAGAGAATTAGTTGAGAGGAATATCATGCATAATTTGCTGTCGCGGTATAACAAATTCGGATGAATATTAATATAAATTGATGGGTATATAAAAATATGTAACGATATTAAACTTTTGAAAAAAAATTACGAATTAATCAGTACGCGATACGACGAACCATGATATCCCGTGATAACATACTCTTAGATAGTATAGACTTTCTCCTAACTAATATTCCGTATAAAATTGTATAAATGCTACCGACCTTTAAGGAGAAGTCAAAAGTGTTTGGAAGGAGGCTTTTCCTCCATCTCTCCCCTCGAAGCATACTCGTTCCTTCCCCTTTTGCCTTTCTTTTCATTCCCTTTTCTCTCAACCCAAACAAACTGCAAGGTTTGAGTTATGAGATCATCAATTGCAACAAACTAATTAAAATGATTGTGATTCACCCAAAAACACGAGTGATTGTAGATCCTATCACTTTGACTTGTCATAAATGAACAAGACAAGAGAGAAATAAATTTCATTTTTAAAAAAAATCAAATCCAGCTCTGACACAGCATCTCACATGATCTTTCCACCTCTTTATTTGGCCAGTACCTTCACTCAAACACAAAGTCACCCAAAAGTCAAGTATATATAAAACAATCCAAAGTCCAAACCAAACCAATTATATAACCATTCTCATTAAGTTAACACATAGTTCGTAGCACTCCCTCTTAAAAATATGAATTTACACACTCAACCACATCGATAACATTCTCACACAAAGCACCACCATACCTTTTAGTAAACCAAATAGCCTTCAAATTCAATTTCACTTGAATTACGTACCTTCCAAGAAAATATATATATATATATTACACACAAAAGGATACTTTAATCTTTTAAAATTAAACTTATCCCTACTTTATGGCGAATATTTCTCTCCCTTTTTTTTTACCGCTCCCAACAACACGTCCCATGAAGGGCCCACCGCATATAATATCAACTATATAAATATCTCTCTATATATTACAGAAGTATATACTTTTGCATCTAGCTAACCTACTGCTAGTAGTGCTTTTAACTGGTAGAGTTGTAAGAAAGAAACCACACACAAACAAGATAAGAGAGAAGTAGAGAGAGAAAAAGTGTTGAGAGAGAGAGAGAGAGAGAGAGATGAGAACCAGCAACCACTTGATCGGCTTACTGAACTTCCTAACGTTCCTGCTGTCGGTTCCCATACTGGGTGGCGGGATATGGCTGAGCAGCAGGGCGGACAATACGGACTGCATGAAGTTCCTCCAGTGGCCGTTGATCGTGATCGGCGTCTCCATCATGGTGGTCTCGCTGGCCGGATTCGCCGGCGCGTGTTACCGCAACACCTTCCTGATGTACCTCTACCTGTGGGCCATGTTCTTCATCATCGCCGCTCTCATCGGCTTCGTGATCTTCGCCTACGCGGTGACGGACAAGGGGTCGGGTCGATCCGTCGACAACCGGGTCTACAAGGATTTCTACCTGCAGGACTACTCGGGTTGGCTGGAGGAGCACGTAGCGAGTAATAGCAACTGGGGCAAGATCAGCTCTTGTATTAGGGACTCCAAGGTGTGTGCGAAAATGGCCAGAGGCTTAAATGGCGTGCCTGAAACTGTTGACATGTTTAACCTCAGAAAGCTCAGCCCTGTTCAGGCAAGTACCCAAACCCCAAAAAATATACGTGTATATATATATATCATATACTATATTTCTTATATATCTCTTCATATTATAGTATTCTTTTAGTGTCACTAATTACGGTTACAAAAAGTGATAATGATTTTTATGTGTATATTATATATACAAGTACGGTGGTAGTATTTGATTAGTGAGAGATTTGGATTAGGCATTTTTAGATCTGTTTTTTAGTGGATGAGCTGCCCACTCTTCATTTGGAGTGGTTGTGGATCAATGATTATGCCTTTTTAAAAAAAAATTAATGATGGGTATAATTGTATTTTCACTTGCGACTAGATGCTACTGTACTCGACTCAGGCAGGCTTGTCTGAATGAAGGTCCAAGACGGTGTCGTTCTAGGACTCTCTTTCTGGTTCGAGTGTAAGAGCATACCATAAAATACATAATCAACTTTTATAAAATACTCCCTTTCAAAAAAAAAAAAAAATGTTTTACAATGGAAGGACTAAATAATTAAAATTAATGCAATGAAAAGTATGTACAAATATATTTATAGGATCACAAAGCCTTTAATATGGATGGTATTAACCTCTCTTCTTTATAAGAAAGATTGAAAGTTTGAGTCGTTAAGAATAATGGTCTTACAGTGTTAGCTTTAGTTTTGGCTACTTTACCTTAGCACATATAGGTCAGGTAATTTTTTTACTTTTATGGTTGAAAAAAAAAAAAAAAAAAAAGAGTCACTTTTATCACCTTACATGTTAACTGTTGGACCAAAATTCCGAGACATATTTGTATGGCCTAACAAATAGACTACGAAATTCAGTTAAATAATCATTTTTTCTAATTATTATATGTAAATAGTACATGGTCCGAAAAGATGTGATTCTTAATTAACACACAAATAAAAATTAAATAAAATTAATAAATTTATTTATGCGTTAATTAGTAATTTATCCTATATAATTGGGCTTTTATGTCATGTATTATTATGGAGAAGCTTTTTGCTTTCGTGGTGATGATACACACAGACCCATCGCCGACATACCCAATTGTCATCCAATAAAGAGAACCGTCTTTTTCATCCCAAAAAAAAAAAAATCAAAAGTATGAGAATAATTTCTGCACCTTTTGGGTTGGCTTTTTTGCGTGATGCAATTGATTTCCTTTATAATAAAATATCCTAGGGTTTAGGTACAACAGAGGATGAGGAGAATTGAAGCTGGCATTTTGCAGCCCCAAGCCTTTCCATTTTCCTATCTGAATTTTCTTTTTTCTCTCTCTTTTTCTTGGCTAACAAACAGGATATTACTCTCTTTATCTGACAACTTACTAGGTACGGTAAGTTTGTTACAACCAACACGTACCAGGCATAAATGAATGATTGCTACCATGATCATTCCCTTTTTATTGCTCTATTGTATTAGTGGTGGTCCTTCCACTAGATGTCGACCAATTGATATGAAATTTGTATCAAATTCTAAATCAACAATTAATATGAACAAATAAAATGGGTTGGTCAAATATTAACCTGCCTTGAACAAAAAATAAAAAAATAAATACCCCCTCCATTTAGTTGTAATTGTCTTTTTTTCTTTTTTTTGAATTGTTTCAAAATATTTATTCACTTATCAGATGTCAATAATATATTTTATATCTTTTCATAAAATATTCTTTAAATTTTAAAAAAATATAAATTTACAAATGTATCTTAGTAATTCTCAAAGGAGATAGTTACATGTCCCGTTAAAAAGTTCACTTCTCATAAGTCACCTCATAAATCACGTCTAATATGCAAAAAGAGAGAGAATATATATATATATATATATGTATATATATATATTGATCTATTTGACCAAGTCGATCTTGTCATTATTTGAGCATTGCGTGTGCTTCCATTTTAAGCAAGGTATTTTTCTTTTTAGTTTCTTTACCATGAAATAAGCTATGAGTTTGACCTTATAAACTTTAATTATCAAAACAATATTATGATAACAAAATACTTAAAATGAATGCAATTTAAAGTTTTTAATTTTATATCTTACAATTTAAGTCTAGATCCTATAATCATTTAATAAAAAAATGGGTAAATTAGAGATACTATATGATAAAAATCAGAACTTTATTTCTTTTAAAACTTCTATAGCTGAGATTTAACCAATCAAAGAGTGCTGAATAAATTACTAATATTTTGAAATCAAAAGATCAATAATGATGATTTATTTTTATTTTTATTTATTTATTTATTTTGTATAATATTGCTTGAAACATGACAAAATAGAAGCAATTTTGTTTTAACAAAGCATTTAATTTAGTTGTGTTTGTACAGTCTGGTTGTTGCAAGCCCCCCACAGACTGTGGCTATACTTACGTGAATGAGACCTTTTGGACCGGAGTGATCGGGTCCAACCCTGACTGTACTAAGTGGAGCAATGACCAAGCGCAGCTCTGCTACTCCTGTGACTCTTGCAAAGCCGGCGTGTTGGCGACTCTGAAGAAGAGTTGGAGGAAGGTCTCTGTCATCAACATTGTTGTGTTGATCATCCTCGTTATCGCTTATGTGGTGGCCATTGCAGCATTTAGGAACAATCGTAAGATGGACAACGATGAACCCTATGGTGAAACCAGAATGGAGAAGGCACAGCCTAGTCGGATACATTTCTAGCCAAGATTTTCTCCGAGTTCGGTAGAATTTTAAGCCCTAGGATTGTGAAGAATGTGATTTCTTGTTTTGTATTAAGGGGTCTGTGTGTTTTAGATGGGAAGAACTGTGTTTTGTATGTTTAATTTTGAAGGGAAGTTGGCTGTATGTATGTGTTGACGGTGGTAGTAAGCAGTATTTTCATTTTCTGAATCTTCAACTCAAAAAAGTTACAAGTTGTGTAATATATAAGCAATACTTGGAAAATTCAATTGTTTGGATGAACGACAATAATGTTATGTCTGCAAGTATCGAATTCATGCTATGGATTTGAGATTATAAATTTGAGATTGGAATACTCAAGGCGTCGATTTGGTGCTGACTTACTTAAAAACTACAGTATAATTTATACTAATTTCTCCTAGTGTTCGCCCCAACTATGATAAATCTTTTGTGTTTTTGGTTTATGTTTTATTATTATTTGTTTTTGAAATTATGTGCTTGGAGAAACCAATTGAATGATCAATGACTGTTAAAATCACAATATTTTCAGAAAAGTGTTTAGAATTGCATTTTGGAAACGTATATAATTTGATCAGATTAATGATTGGCTCTGTGTTCATAAACTGTACATCGTATTTTTTTTTGTTGTAGTTTACAATTGTGTTTGAAAGAAATCATACCATACATGAAGTTAGAAAAGTGCATTTCAGACAATCCACCATGAACATGTTCCCTTAAACACCTTGGTTAATTTGATCAACAACTCAAAACTCTCAATTATAATTTACAAACTTTAGCTATGCAGCAAATTTGATTTTCTCTAGATCCCGTAATGGCACTCACCGGTATATTAAATCTTATAAATTAAATTAAATTAAACAGTGCAACAAGACAAAATTGAAAGGGGAAAATTTAGGATTTGATTGAATAAAGAGAATTAAAAAGGAAATTGAAGAAGAAGAGGAGGAGTAAGAATGAAAGAAATAAATAAAAGAAACTGCAGTGAAGTGAGTTGAAGCGCACAACTTTTTTGACCAATCAGGTGGTGTTATTTTTCAACAATTGAACATATATTTTACAAATCCGGCAAAAAGGTTTACTGGGAAGTTGGTTTTTTTTAAAAAGATTTACTTGGGAACTTTTTTTTGACTATTCCCCACCGCCACCGCCACCGCCACCGCCACCGCCACCGCCGTCATTATTCATCACTACTACCACCGCTTTTTACCACCACTATAATCGCCTTTCCTACCACTAAACTAAAACCACCACCATTTCCATTGCCTTGTACCACCGCCACCTCCACTACCTTCCATCACCACTACAGTCACCTCCATTGGCTTCCACCACCGCCACCTATACCACTATCTCCTTTCACCACATACTATCACCGCCTTCCACCAACACCACCGCTGCCTTCCACCACCACAACTGCCTTCTAACTGTTGGGATTTATATGCCCTGGTATAGCAAATTCCTGTTTGGATTAAAGTGATATATGTTCTGACGTTTCTGAAATATTTATGTTTTATACAATTAGTGAATTCAATGTATTATATTTCGATTCATTATAGAATTGATAGTGTCCATTTGATTACAAGAGATATTTATATATATGTATGTGATGGCAATCAATGCATGATATATAAATAGTAATCATAAATGGTTCATAGTCGGTAATTATGGATGGACTCATAATTAATTAAGATTTGAACTGGATCTGCATTAGGTTGAGATATATTGCGAGAGCCGTCGTATGCAATTGCTCCCTATCACCGTCATAGCATTTGACTCTTAAGCATGAGAAAATTATAGACTCTTTTATTAATTAATAAATACTTTGATTTGTTCGGCGGATACTTCGGGATCCTTAGACCGACACTTTGGGTAGTTATGTAATTAATAGTTAGAGGGTTATATTTTCGATATTTGCATCATTGCTACTTGTATTTATTTTGTATTGATTATGGTTTATCACAAAGTAAATTCGAAGGCCTTCGTATGTTTTTAGACAAAATGATTTATTATATATTTATTTATTTAAATTATTATTTTTGTCAAACAAATATTTTATTGTGATCGAGTCAGAAATAATCAAAGGTACCAAAATAAATATGTTAATTAAGTAGTCGGATTGATGGCTTTATTTATCCGATAACTAATTATGCATAGAGGGGTCAAAGTGTAATATTGACTTAAATGTTATTTATTATTTAATTGGAGTTCAATTAATTTCTTTTAGTGGAGTAGAAATTAATTTATGAATTAATTGAATTGGGTCCATGGACCGGGCCAATTATTAATTCATTGTAGCCAATAAAATAATAGGCCCAATGGATTCTCACTCATAGCCCAACTTGATATTGGAATCATATTAGATTTGAGACATGTGAATTAGAGATTGAGAAGGATTAGTTGTTTCCTTTTCTTTACCTTTATGTTGCCTATAAATATACATGGTCTATGTATATTTTAGGGGTGATTTTTAGTAGAAGGAAAAAGGAATATATTTTCTCTCTCTAGAAAATTAGGGTTTATGTTCTCATCTAATGGAGGCTCCCACAAGCTTAGTTTTCCAAGGTCACTCATGGAGGCATATGAGTGATTCCTAAAGGCAGAACAATTACCAAGAAGATGGAGATCCAAGGAAAATGCATCTTGTTAAGGGATCTACAATAAGTGAGAACATTCATTTTAGAGGAGAGATCTAAGGTTTACTTAAACCTTGATATAAGTATTCAATCTTTTAATTGAATGATACATCATGTTTTATTTTTGCATAAAACTTGTCTCTATGTAATGAATCAAGATCTATGAATTTAAATCCCTCGAAAAGTTTTTAAAACTAACACGTTTCCAACAGTGGTATCAGAGTATGGTTTGATTCATTACTAGAGATCATGATTTTATGAAAATCATCATTCATGGATCCAAAATTATATTCATATATATTTTTATTGATGTATGTTGATGTATGATTTAATATGTTGATATATATTGATACATGATGATGTATGAATAATTGTGAATGAATGATGATGTATGGTTGGGCCATGGATGAAGCTTATAGGTTAAATTAATATAATTTTATCTTTGGATGAATGTAATTAAGGCTTTGATTTAACCGTTTGAAAGTTCAATGATGTAATTTATTTTTCCCATTGTATTTCAAGTTGTAAATATATTTTTTAAAGCCATGTAATATTCATCGAAGGATGCTATGAAGCTTCAAGAAGGTCCAAAAGGGTTAAATTATGCTTCAGTAATTTTCTGGAATTTTTCCGAATTTTTCTGGAATTTTTTGAGGCTTAATTTAATTTTCTGGGAATTTTTCTGATTTTTCTGGAATTTTTCGGCGATTTTTCGGCGACCGGAGCAATGCCGGCGGCGAGGGACAGCGCCGGAAGATGGACGTATAATCCAGTGTAGCAGCACCCATGGTGCACTGAAGAGGACAGCCAATGGAAAAGCGCGTGAAGTACACGCGCTGACAAGGTCAGCATTCTGGCGCGTGAGGTACACGCGCCAGACAAAGTCAACCATTCGGCGCGTGAGGAACACGCGCCGGACAAAGGAACCTTCCCCACGCGCGTGGCAGCGCGTGGCAGCGCGTGGCATGCACTGAATCATCTTTCCAGCGCGTGTAAGCGCGTGGGAGCGCGTGGCACGCACTGGGACTCTCCAGAGGCGCGTGGGAGCGCGTGAATGACCTTCCAGGTGCGTTTCAAGCCTCGTTTTGCTTCTCCTAGCGCGTATCAACCTCCTGCGGGTGTTTTCATGCTGATGGAAGACCATCATGCAGTTATTAGAGCAATTAAATGTTAAAAGCTGAATCCATTGACCATTTAAATTGCTTCTGTCTGTTATTTATTTATTTAACTGATGCATGGAATAATTAATTGTTTATTATTATTATTCATGCATTGGATTCATGATATTTAATTAAATGACTTGATTTATATTAATTAAACTATGAAAATTAATTGGATTTGATTACTAATTAATTTGAGAGCACTTATTGGGAAACGAAAAATTATTTTTGTAAATTATTTTTAAAGTGTGCTTCAAATTAAATATTAGTGAATCGTTTAAAGTCTAAATATTTTCTAAATTTAATTGGATTAAAATAAAGACGTTTTGCATGCATTATATCATGTAAATAAATAAATTCAAAACCCTAATTATGAATGATTAAAAATTGAGTGGGAGCGGGGATTTTTATACATTACCCCATGGCCTTCGTTATTAAAACCATTGTAATTAGATCTTCAAAATTAAGGCCCCACGCATGATTTGAAGAGTCTTAATATTACAAGAATGGTTATCTCATGAAAATAATAATATTAAATTTTCATTGTAATTAGATCTTTAAAAATAAGGCCCTACGCATGATTTAAAGAGTCTAGATTATAATGACAAGATCTTTAATGTTTTATTTTTCATAAGAGCATTAATAATGTTATACACTCAATCTAAAATCAATAGTGTTAGCTCCCCAACGGAGTGGTCTACACTAGGTGATTTTAGAAAGGTTAAACATAATCGGGAATCATTTCATATAGATAGACAAGGCATTGTCTTAAGAGATATGGAGATGATGGGATTTGTCCGCCAATAGCAATAATGAATTTCGCCAACCGAATAAGTTATTGGTGTATTGGTTATCCGATTTTTCATGCAGTGGTTAAGGGACCCACATACTATTTTAATGGAAGTGCTCACCTAATAGTAGATGAATCTCAACAATAGTAATAATGAACTCCTCCAACAGGATAAGTTATTGACATATTGATTGGTTGATTTATTTTGCTACAGAGTTGAGGGACCCGCATTAATTAAAAGGGATTGTTCACCAATAATGATAATGATTTCTTGTTCGATTAAGATTTATTATATTATGTGGTTAATAATTCACCTTGCATATTGTATGAATGCATTTATATTCAAACTAATTATGTCTAATCCATTTTATCTGCGTGCTTACATATTCAATGTAACTGGACCTCATTAATATTGACTGGGAAAGGAACTTAGATATTTTATTCACAACGTGGTGGTACAAATGTATTTACTACTCCTAAAATCTAATTCTTTTTACTTTAAGATATCCAAGAGAACATTAATGCTTTGAATAAGTGAAATAAGGCAAATGAGATGACTTGGTGCAATATTCTAGAGATTACCTCGAATACGCTCCAAAACTAACATTTACATTATTTTATTTTCTTTAAGCATCATGTTAAATGTCAATAAGATGTTTTGGTGAGATTAGATAGAGAGTATGCTAAAGTACTATATCAGACTTGAATAGCATCAAGATAGCCTAAGGAACTCCAGTATGAAATCGAATTTTGA